CAGGGAGATGACAAGTCCCATGGGGCTCTCCCTGCAGTAGCGGTGTCTGATGTTCAGCACTTGGACTGACAGGAAGTTATACCTAAATCGAGTAGTTGGCTTATCAGCATAAGACAAAATTGCAAGTACTTTTTATACGGAAAAATTCTGAGCAAGAGGGTTTGGTAGGTGTATTTGAACATGCCTCAATGTGGCCAAGAAGACTCATTTTACCTATGCATGTACATGTCTAGATCTATTTATATTCATATGAAACTATGTGCACACACTAGTGTGTGTATGTATATAAATATATAAATATAGCTGTTCTGTTTTAGGAGGAATGCCTGTGCAAGGTTACCAGGATGGCAAAAAGAACGTGACTGCAGAAGGCATTGCTGCTTGTACTGTGTCTGTGTCAAACTCTGCTAATGTGCAAAAATCACTGAAGAACTTGGCAGCTGGATTTAGTCCTCTCTTCTGGTGCTGTTTTTGGAGACATCCACCTTTATTCAGGGCAACCTAACCAGCAGTGATCTGCCCTGGAYTGGGAGGAGAGGGAGCCACTTCTGCAGGGCTTAATAGAGAAGTATGGGCCCGGTTGTGAGTGCCTTCCATGCTTACAGTGTGGCAATCTCCTCAAAGACTTGACGTTTTGTCACATTGAACATAAATAAGCTTATTCAAGAAGTTTTTGTATCAAACTCATGAAAAATGTGAAACAAGATGGAATTCGTTCATATATACCTGTTTAGAGATAAAACGCCTTTGAATTGTCTTGTAGTGCAGTGTGGAAATAGGGAAATTAGTTTAYGCTTCAGGGGGAGAAACTGTTTGTGCTTGGATGAAATCTTCACCTATTTTTATAGAGAATTTTCTGTCTGTMACTGTATTAGTTTCCAATCAAAATCTTACTATGGTTCCTTTTTTCTTATCAGCTCAGTTTCTTACCACAGAATTGTAAATGAATTTCAAATCTGTGGTGGGTTACCTCTTGTGTTTAAGAAAACAAAAGCAAAGCAAAATGAGAAACCATCCAATGCCCTGGCATCCTAAGAACCAGGCATYTTCTTATAATGTCCTCATACTGCAGTTTCATTAGACTGTGAACAAGTATCTCTCACAAGGTCTCTGCTTCATCCTAGGTACTGGCGGCAGTAGCTCGTCCTGGGTGTTTTGCTTCTCYTGACTGGAAAGCCTAGCCTTAGTTAAGGAGACGAACTGTGACCTCCTAAATCAAGTTTTTTATCTAGGTCTCCACTCTTTTATTCCTGTTTTTCATGAATGATCTGATTGGCTTTGCCCTTCTCCCCTTTTAAAAAAAATTGATTTTTCACTGTGAATTTATGTATGTAATGACAATTTGTTGGATTATCGTGAAAATGGAGATTCTCAGGCAGGGAATTTGATTTCAGGATGAAAACCTCCTTGACATRGACACTGAGCATATATACCTAGTATGCTGACTGAAGAAATGACTATATAGGGAGTGTCCTTCCAGGTGAGAGGGCCTGGAGAGGAGTAATGATAAAGCTTCTTGATTTTYGGGGGCTAGAGTTTGAGCTTGTTTTCTCCCGGTTATGGGAGAAGAATATTATTTGCCATGGTCTGGAGAAGCAAGCCAAATGAGGCACAGGACCTCAGCTGATAGCAAGAGTAGTGAAAGAATATGATCTTGGAAGCATTCACTTAYGCAGTGTTTATGAAGAACACTCTGTTGAAATAATTGGTGTTTTGGCCAAAGCTGTTACAGYTGCTGCTTTCTGTAGCAGTGGTGATGATGACTAATGATGCTGGTGGCAGGGCTGGGCTGTGGGGGAAGAAAAGGTCCTCTGGATCATGCTCCTCTATAGCAGACGTGATTTTTACTCTGTGTGGCAGTTAGTGCTGCTCAATTCCAGAAGTTAAAAGGGGGGGGGGAAGAGGAAAGTTCCGAACCTTCAACTTATCGTTCCTGGGGCACATCAGAAAGAAAACTCTTCCTGTTGCATGTAAGAATCCTAAAAACATGTTGTCTTGGGACTTTGAGCTGTCAGAGCTGCCAAGTCAAGAATASTGTTAGCATGGAGGATGTAACCAGTATGGGGGCAGATATTCATACTCAGACTCAAATGCCAAATGGATTATGATTTGAGTATGTTTAGTTATGGCAGAAATTTGAGAAATAAACACTGTCAGGGTCTCATTATTATGAAATAATTAGCGCTGTTGAATATTTGCAGTGTATTGTGTTAGAACCTACCTCAGTGGTTGTCTGAATTCACTGTATGGCTTAGAAAACACTAGATCAGAAACTTTTATGCAAGCCTATTTTTTTTAGCTGTGTAAGCTTCGTATCAACTTCAACTCTTTATGTAGTGTCTTGTACATATGCCCATATACTGGAGTTTAAGTACTCTCCTAAAGTTTTGTTTTTTCTTTTTGAAGTTGGAGTTTTTTATGATGCAAGAAATTAATMCTTAGAATGAGGAAGAACCAAAGTATGCCTTCTAAGGTGTTAACCTCACTTATGCTCTTCAAATCTTGTCCGATGGTGGGTGGCTTCTGAGATGAAGGTTTTTTCTGGTGAAGACAGCATTGGATGCTGGTAGCACAGTGCAGGGAGAAGGCTGAAATATTGGTTTTAAAGCTCTGCCTAGTGATAGGAAGTTTGCTTAGCACTGTTGTTAGGAGGTCTTTCCCAGCTTCTTTCACCTACAGGGAGGAGATGTTTACAGCCACCTATCTAGTATAACAGGAGGAAAAAGGAGCTGGTTAGGAGTTTAAAGAGATGAGGGAATGGGTTTCCAATCTGAGTTTAACTAGTTGTGATTTAATATGGTCCTAGYCTTTATTATGAGACTCAAAAGAAGACTTTGGCCTGACGGAATGCATTARAAGACACATTAAATAATCTATCAATTGCAGGATATCTCAAATCCATTAATGAACTGGTTTAATGGGTTATCATTTTTCTCCTATATTTTTCCCCTGTGTATTTAGGTAATGAAAGGCTAATTTCAGCAGTCATACAGCTGTTTCATTTGTCTTGAAGTTGTTGTTTTTTTGGTGTAAAAGAGGATGCTTTCTACCCTCTTGGAGAGAAGGTTTCACAAGATCCATGTGCTCATGGTGTAGGCTCAGGACAAACACCCCAGGTCTATCTGTTTCTGGAGGAAGTGCGTTAGGAAACCAGGACTGGAAAGGGCTCCATGGCTCAGCAGGCTGCGTTGCTATTGCATACACTATGGAAGATGAACCTTAGCAGCAGCTGGGGTTTTYGTCTTAATTGCTTTACTTAGAAGCCTGGGAATCTCATCATCCTGATGGCTAGAAACCTCCTCCTAATTTCCAGGCCAAGAGAATTCATGGGCAGTTTATGTGCATTTGTTCATCTGCCAACATTAACCTTTAGCTTAAATTATTCTTTTCACTCCCTGGTGTTTACCCTGCAGCGTGTTTATAGAGAGCAGTCACATCCTCTCATGAGCTTCTCTAGTTGCTTATATAATAATCTCTGCTTTCTTCTGACAATGACTTCACTCTGTGCATGTTCCCGTCTCAACTTTTAAAAATGGGAATAACTGGAAGTGTTCTCAGTATTCCAGATATTTTGACAGAGAKGAATACTTTCCAGTCTCTCCTGGAAATGCCTGGCTTATTCACCTTAGCTTCTCATTTACCTTGTTCGCTGCTGCATCACATCCGTGGCTCATCCTGTGACTGGTGACTAATGTGCCTAGCTCTCTCTTCTCGGCGACGTTTACAATTGATGAGCTCATAGCTCCTGGCAAAATTGCTGTTATTAGTCCTTTAGCGAACTGAAATACMTTTCAAGACCCGAATGTGTAGGAGCTGGTTCTGTCATGTTAGTGACCTAGATAAAGTTTCTCATTTTGCTTGTGGCAACTTTGTGGAACTTCCGAGTTGCTTTATTTATAAAACTCAAGGAAAGAGGGATTATCCTTGTCTCCTGGCSTGGCTAAGGAGTAAGGTGCTAAATGGCTTTCTAAAAAACTAAAGCCTGAACTCAAGATCTCCACATTGCAGGGTAGTTTAAGAGGATTATAGAAAGAAATACCATACTCCCAGATCCATGATCTTGTATGAGATGCATAGCTTGAGACGTGGAGATGTTAGGAAGGAGGCACCAAAGACACATGAGGTCTAGCACAGATGTGGCAGCTTGGACTGCYTTTTATAAACACTGGAGCTGAAAACATCTCGGCTTTTTAGGTTTCAAGGCAATTTTAGAGTTTTAATTACACAAACTCATGAAGGCTTGTGTTTGAGGACAAAATAGTTTTCATTTTATGCTTGTATCCTGATGAAGTGCAGGAAGATAAATAGGGATTAGCCTCTGGGCACATCCCGCTCTTGTTTGTTGCCCTTCCCTTTGAACTTGGGGAGAAGGGAAGAAAAGCCAAATGGATGAATATTAATAAGCCTGGTCCAGGGCCCTCTACACTGGGGCCTTGAAGGCAGAGCCACTGGTGTAGAAAGAAGAGGCAGCTGCTGTGCAGAACAGCACTGCAAAGAGAATAKAAGAGTGAGATCCCCGGGAGCGCTACGCTCTGCTAGGCTCGGTTTGTGTTTTCAGGGCTGTGTTGGTAGCTGTCTGTGGTACCCAGATCCCCTTCAACCAGGGCATTCATGTTGCTTCAGTTCTGCTTTTAAAAGTGAAGTTTTTATTTGTTCCATGAAGTTTTTATTTGCTGAGGATTCCCTGTGCAGTGTGGCATGGGCTACTGTATCAGCCCTCTTGCTTACAAACGCAGGGGAGAACCATGATTGAACAGGACTCATTTAATGCAGTGTGGGGAGCTGCTGCCTTAGCTCCCCAGGACATTGTACTGGGCTACTTAGCATGCTGTAGTACAATGCTGTATATTTAAAAGTCTTTTGGGATGTAATTTCAGCTATGAAGGGCATAGTGTAGAAGGCGAAAGAATAGCTTGATAATTGGAAAAAGCTTTAAGTGTTTTATTTTTGTTATTAAAATCTTCAAGGTCAGAGGCTTTTTCAATGTTGTTTGGAGATTATTTCAAGACTAAGACTAAGTTCTGTGGTGGAAAAGGTGTGGAAGATAAAGGACGTTCAATTCTAAATACTGAACCTGGTAAGTCTCTTGCTAATGATACTTTAAGTGGTGCAGATGATAGGAAGTGGAAACATTTTGAAGAGTTATTGATTTTAATTCTCAAGCTCAGACACTTGGTTTAAAAAAAAAAAAGATGCAAGTCTTTACAAGAAAGTCCTTTGTATCTACTTCTGCAAATCTGAAATGCTGTATAGAGCTTGCCAATGGAGACACGAGGTAACTGTGCTTTTATTGACGTCTCTGGCCTATAGAGAGAAAAAAAACAAGCTATTCATTTTCTTTTCAGAACAAGAACAGCAGGAAAAACTGTCCTCACTGAGGAATTCTAGCAGTTTGTAGACACACAATACCAAGTCTGTTTTAAGTTTGGCTGGGTAAGTACCTCAAAAAGCTTCAACTACCCTCAAGTTACAGTTCTAGTCCTTGACTGTGATTTAGTGTCACTTCTTGTTCATATTGTAATTTATTACTTTCATAGCTATTTCTTCCGTTGTTTTTATAGACATTTAAAGTTTTCAGTTCCTTAATGTGTGAGGCGGATGATTGTCTCTAATTTTTAGTTTATATTCTGAGAGGTTTTTCAGATGAACCTACTGAGKCACAATTCAAACATTACACAATTTTTGAATAAGAATCACTTCATTTTTTCCACATTATTCCTCTTTTTTCCCCTCTTTGCTATTTTTAAACTGATATTTAGAAAAATAAAGGCAACAACATTAGTTTATAATGAAAGTAACCAGCAATGCACATGCATATAGAACTTAAGATGACTTTTTTTTATTAGGTGGAAAATATTGATTTGGAATAAAAGCTAAAAGTTATCAGACAATAAGCATGAAAATTTTACCTGGGGAATCAGAATAAAGAATGCATAGGGGCAGATTTCTTTCCCTTCATTTCTCTCACGTGATTGCGTCCCCCAAGATGCATCTTAAATGGAATGATTGAGAAGGTAGATGAGCACACCTCTTTAGATGACTTGGAAAAGAAAAGAGTTTGAGCGATTTTTGTTAAATAAGGGTAATCAATTAATTGGTGGAACATAGAGTTGCAAGCAGTTGTGGTAAGAGTTTGGGACATGTAAACTAAAGAAAATTCAGAAGGAATTTTCTAAAGGGAGAACTATAACTAAAGGGAGAAAATAACAGATAAGAAAGATTGTAGGAAGCACAGGTCACAGTGGCATTTAATTACTTGAATATTGATTAGGTAACCTGTTATGTAAACACTATGGAAGAAATATGTGTTCCTAGGGGTAAACAGGATAGTTCTCTGATTGGGTTTGTTGATTAGTCCCTGTGGTCAAACACAGCCAGTTAACCAGAGGARGTAAGATGAGGTTTGAATGCAGTGGAATGAGGGGAGTACTTGCCATGAGTCAGTAAYCAATATTCTGTGGCAAAAATGTGCAGTTTGCAGCTTAATTCTTTGTGGTTGTTAAGAGTAGGTGATACTCCTTGATTGCAGGGAGACCTGGAAATGCCTAATGTCTTCAAAAACCCTGTGCTTCTGTGGCAGCCGAAGCTGAACCRCGGGGGACTTCCAGCTGAAGAGTTTATAAAACAAGGAAAGCATAAAAACACATGTAGATCAAGGGGAAAGGACAAGATAAAAAGAAAACCACGATTTGATACACTTACACCTTTAGTTTGGATGATAATTTCTGGGAGATAGTAGYAGTAATGCCTGCTGTGGATGGTAGATGCTAATTAACTGCAGTAACTTTTCTCTSTTTCCTTATGACTTGCATCTGCAACTAACATCCCTCTAGCAGTAGAGCTAAGTCTTCAGTGACTGGGACTGGCCTAGTCGTGAGTATGGCTGAATGAAGGCAGTTTAGCTGCTTGCAGCCTTTCCCTCGCCTTCCAGATGTGCTTTCCCTTGTTCCACRGTGCAGCCATCCCTAGAGGGAAATGAGACTGTTAAAAGCATAATGTTTGAGAAACTTTTAATGATGTAGTTTAGCTTGCTTGAGATTAGTACAACTAAGTTCTGGCTGCTGCCAAAGCAAGATGAGCAACACCTTTCTGCAGCTCCCTTTTTTTAGCCCTTTTCGTTTGAAACAGCAGCTCAAATGGGTACTGGCTGAACTACTGAACTCCTTCTGGCTGTTTCCAAATTGAACGGGGATGGGTGCGTGGCTTTCAAACACTCAAACAACAGAATTGTTTAGTCCTTGGCTGAGCTGAAAAGAGCACCTTGGATAAGTTTTTGGCAATATCAGCAGGCATTGTTCCCCACCTCTGTGTGAAAGATGGTGAGGTACCAAACATAGGTGTTCGGGAAAGTCCAGTTTCTACAGTGCTGTGGGCCACATGCTTGTTTTGGACTGCATTCAACTTCTCAGGAGTCCTGTAAGTACTTCCTCAAGCCAATAATTAAAGCAATAAGGCAGAGTATATCAATACTTGAAGAGTTGCACAAGAAAATCCTTCATACAAAATGTTATTTTGGTTATTAACTGAAAGCATATTTTCTGTAGTTAATGAAATTGAATACATGCATTACTTAAGAATGACGGTAAGTATTAATTTGGTTTCCTTTCTGATTTTAGTTATAGCCGATGCAGAACCTTAAGATGAGAATAATCATCTGAGAAATATTTTGCTTTTTTTGCTTTCCMTACACAAGGAGGTAATGAAACAAATACTTCAGGTCACTTGGGCTAGATCCTCATCTTCAGGCAATCATCGGAGTATCAGTAGAATCAATASAGTTTTGTCAGTTGACTTCTGCTGAGAATCCAATGCTAACAAAGTTTCTTCAACATTAGATCAAGCTGAAAAAATTAGGATGCAGTATGGTTCCTTCTTTTATGTTGTTTTCCTTCTGARTTTTCTTCTTGTCATGAAATTCAGTACTCTTAGTACTTCAGGTTCCTTTGTTGGGAACAAAGCCAATTTTCAAGTCATTTGTCCAATGAAAGAACCTTTGAGGCTTTGATTCTTCTCCTTTGATTACACCTTGGAGTAACTCTGTTATGTTTAGTTGTGACTCGGATACATATTAGATGAAAGCCAAGCTCCAGTTCTAAGGAACACACCAGCAGGACTCTGTGGAGCAGAGATGCTCTGCAGTGCTGCCTGCCCTTCTGGATGGGCACTTTGGTGCTTTCTGAGCACAGGGAAGCTGTGTTTCAGGATTGGTGCTGCAGGTCTGTTCTACTAGTGGCCAATTCTGCTTCCCAATGCTTTCAGCAGYATTGGGTTCCTCCGTGCAGAGACAGCATGTGCTGGTATCCTCTAGATGTGCAGGCACCCTGTGGCTGAGKTCCCCCCTTGGGTCAGCTCTGCTTGCATGTGCACTCACTGGGTGGAAAGTCACCAGCAGCTGGAAAGTTAGGTCAAGATCATAAGATCAGTTGGAGCACRACACAAATGATAGCAAATGCAATGGCCTGTGGCAGTGGAGTGTGTCTCTGTCTTGTGCTCCTGCTAGCATGCAAACAGATTGATGGGCCTAGAACATATTTTTAGACCTGAATGTGYGTTTTCAGTCATCTCTTTTTTTCTCTTGGTAAAACATGACTAAAATCATAGCAGATCATTCTCTGTCTTTTATTCTGTTCTTTTCCAGTGTCTTCCAGAAGATGCATAATTATTTGGAGTCTTCTGAATGAAAATATGCCAGAAGAGGTACCTCCAAATTTTTTTCACTTTCACCAGTGACACTGACTACCAGCATTATTGGAATTTGTTTTTTATTAAATCAGGGTCTCAGAACTAAGATAGTATGATATTAAAATGTCAGAATACAACTAATCTTAAAACAGAAGATCAATTTATTTAATTCAGTGGATCTAATTCAGAGCTAGGTCCTCTTTGCTATTATACTCCTGATTGACAACATCCAATAAGTTTTTTAAAACATTTAATTCTGCAGGATGATATAATACCTCRGAATTTACTTTTCTATGACTATGAAAATAATCATATTCTTTCAGAAACAAAATAGGATGGAAATTTGTATTTGGTTGCTCAAGCTAGCAGGAACCATAATGAAATTAAGACTCAAAAAGCAGGAAATGCCGTAGGAGAGGTTATCTTTAAGACTTGTGTTTGTCCCCACTGTGAGTATATAYGTCATACCTTTCAATTACAAGGCTACATGTCTTTTTCCCTGGGACTTGTAACTGATTCAGTTTACAGGATAAAYAGCCCTATGAATTCTTCAATCTCTATTTTTAATGGGAATATAAAGTAAAGCAAATCTCCTAAAGTGCTAACTGAAGTTAGYTGCCTAATTCAAATAATTGGACTTGTTTAAGTAGGAGATATTTTCTAGWCCCTTATATGTTTGGAGGAGTGTTTCCCTATTCTACTTTTGGCTCCTTTCTCTTGTCACGTGTGTCTTTCTCAGTACGTAGGCAGGTGTGCAGTGTGTGCACTCGCACCATGAAGGGGGCTTCATCCAACCTGGATTCTAGAAGCTGCAATGGGAGGGAGCCTGCTTAGGAACAGTGACATTTGGGTAGAGCGCAGTAGCCAATTAATATCTATCCAATGTCCCTATACAAAAGAAAAAAAATTGCATCTTGTGAATTAGTACACTTTGAACTMATGATCTGGTGAAACATACAAGATTTGTAAGCATCTCTTCCTTTTTTTCCCATTYCTTACTCTTAAAATTTATTTTCAGGTTTTTCATTTTGACTTTGTTAGGCAACTTGTTTTTCAGTCTTAGTCTTAGAGAAGACTGAATTTTTGCAGAAATGGGAAGATCCATRAATAAATGAGTACATCTGTTATCTTGAGAGGCACCTGGCAGGAGTATCAATCCAAAAGATGAAAGTTTAGAGAACTTAAATRTAAATAGAGAGAGAGCTTGTAATATAGTGCCCAACAGCTTTAATAGTAGGTGTCACTGTGGGTGTTGCTCAAAATAAAAAAATTCATTTTAAAAAGTACTTCCGAAGGCATCAGCAGGAAGAGTTACCCAACAAAGGTGAATTTGATAACTTCAAGATGCTTTTATTGCTCTGGGTTTATGAATATGTCAGTGGGCATGCTGAATAGCGAATGTTAAGAAATGTAGAGGAGCAACAGTCATGTCTCAGGTRTATTGTTTTCTGACTCTAAGTAGGAGACCAGCCTCTATAGCCACCAAATAGAGTGGGTGGTGACGCAACAAAATTTATACAAGAGACACAGCTGTTTAAGTGCTGTGTATTTTCTAAGTTTTATTTTGGCCTTTGATACAYGTTGCCCCATCTATTTAATGTGAGTTGTCAGTACAGACAGTGCCTGAATTCCTTCATTATGTCAGTTTGGTATTTTTATGTATAGTTTTGGATGCAAGCAAGTGTTAACGTCTTAAACGTAAATAAATAATATTTATTTTAACTGCTTGGGTTAGCTTTGATACAGAGTCTTGATATTAAAGCTTATTAATGTAAGCTTGCTGGATTGACTGTCATCCTTAACACGACAGCCTAATCAGCAGGCATTTAGCCAGAGTACCTTGATTATGGAAACCAGAGAAGTTTATGTTTAGCAGCAAACCAAATGGCCCATTTCTCTCTTGATTTCCATCTTTTGCACTTTTTCAGAGGGCATCACATACTTGCACAATGTACTTTACATTTCCCCAAGTCTCTTTTCCTGGTTTTGCATAACAACTAGTGTTCAGATGGGTGTTTTGTTCTGTTTAGCTTTTTCCCTTATACCTTGGTTAAGTTGTTCTGCCTCATGTTTGACTTATTAAAATTGACTCTGTATGGTGTTTATAGGAGTTGAGGGTAGTAACGTTAATGAGCATTAGCTACTAGTAGACCTTAAGGTTATGCATTTTAATGATGTTTGCACAGTGGATTTTGACCTATTACCAGGCTGTGTGGCTGCTTTTTTCAGAGGCTCTCTACTGAATAGATGATTTACAGGTCACTTTTCTGCTAGCTCCAATTTCTTTCAGCTTTCTTCAAGGACTCGGCAAAATCAATTGATTTGAGTGTTCACAGAAACAAAGAATAGAAAATACTATTCTGAGAACTCCTGCCATAKCCCAATACCTCTCACTAGTGCTCATAGTCGGTAGTGTCTATCAGTACATGTTAATCAACAGAGACTGTAAATCCTAATGCAAGTTGCACATAGTATTATACAGGCTGGCTTGTTTTAGCCTTATTGTTAAGAACAAACAAACTTTACTGTCTAACATAGATAAGAAAATCTGTCCTGGTCTTTTGATTCAGTAGGGAACAGTGACAACGCATACTTCTCTTAATATGTGCTCAAAATATTATCTAGTCTGGATTTTAATCTTGTGAAAAAATGTTTTCTGCTGAACTGCTGCTATGGGAACTGTGGCAAATCTTGTAGTGATTCCTAGAAGCATGTGAAAGAGTTGGAAAGGAAAGTCTGGGAATCTCCGCTGGAAAAATAGGACATTTTTGTTTAGGCATACAAGTTGATAACTTAAATCACCTAAGGAATCAAAATAATTTAATCTTTCTACTGCTCATAAGTCTCATTAGCTTCATTTACTTCATACAGAAAAACAAAAGGTTTGGGATGATTTTTTACTTGTTCCTCTAAGTGAATTGCATTTTCAGGTAGAATTCTGCACATAACTGAAGATGTTCAAGTCCTCCTCTCACATCCATGCTGCAGTGGTTTTTAAGCTTCCTTTTTATTTCTTCAGTTCTATTTCTAAAACTCTGATCCTATCCTTTTTATTAAATCACACTGTTGCTGCTTTGYTCTCCTCTCCCTTTTGCCTTCTAGGAAATAGTGAATTGGTTGTAGAACCCATGTGCTTTCATATAATGACATTAGAGTGATGGAGATCTTTCCTAACTGGTTAGAGTGACAAAAAACACAGAAAGCAGCATGGAGTATGTACTGGACAGAGGTAAAAAGACAGGTATTTTTTAAAAAAAGTTGGTATTTGCTATGACATTTCTCACTGTCATTGTGTCACTCTTGCCATTTTATCTCTTATTCACTGTTCTTTTCTGTCACCTCATTCTATATTTTTGCAAATCAGCATGTTTTTTGATACCCTTTCTGCTTGCCTTTTASCTCTATCCTTACTTTACGTAGAGTTTGCCTCTTCTCTTTGTAGGGCTTTTGCTTTTTCCTCCCTTCTTTCATCTCTTCATTTCCCTTCCTTAGGAACTCAGTGGAGACTCTGAGTTGCCAATGGTTCTTTTTCTTGCTTACCTGATTTAAAAGCCCTTCTTCAAATCCCACAGAGGAGGATCTCTTCTAGAGCTTCTACCTTTTTACAGTGAGTGATTGTCCTTTTTTCTGTTCTTATATAGTCCTGTTTCTCCCCTTTGTCCCATCTCCCACTTCTAGTCAGAGGAAGGTTCTAGCCTTGTAACGTAAGGAGCTCCCCTCCTCTTTGAGGGACAAAATAGCAGAGAAAGCTACAAGTGGCAGTTAAGTGACCTGCTGTCTAGTAGTGGACATGCTSGTGTATAGACTGGATTCTGTGAAAAAKGCAGTGAGACAGAGGGACTCTACCTTAAAACAAAAAGCTGTGGCAAATCCCAGCTCTTAGAATTCCCTTTGGCTCTACAGTAGAGCAAATGTCAAGACTGTGAAATTACCTKTAAGTGAAATTGAGATATACAAACATTATTGAAACTGTTTCCTTGGAAAAGGTCACACTATTTTTTGATTTTCAGCTTGGATTTTATTTTGTTATAATGTCAAGTGGGAGGATGAGGCCTTTGACCTCACTGTGGTTGGAACAGGTTCCCACCTGCTTTGCGGAGCTGAAACAGCTCCACTCCCTTTTTTATGCACTAGAAGAATTAATAGTTACGTCTTGCCTGCAGGTATGGAGAGCCACGGCTTTGGCTGMCAGAGCAAGCAATAGAGTGACCTGCGTTCCAGGTATTTTTAGATCTCCCTGTGAGCAARTCTAGCTGAGGGGGAGTGAGGACCCCCAGGTTCAAGGCCCTAACCCAGCTGTTGGTTGCAGTGTGAGCTTCAGGCTGTCTGACAGTCGATGACTGCTGTGCTCTGGGCTTCTGAGCAGGATCATGGGGTAGTGGTTAAAGATGCTTTGGGGCTGCCTCTGTTAGTAACTTGATAGCAATTTCGTTGGGTTTTTGGTGGCTAAAGATGTCTTATTAGCTCATTAACTGATCTTAGTAGTGTTGATGTGTACATGCTGCTGATACTTGCAGGATCCCTTAGCAGGAATAGGCATTACTGCAAACATAAAGTGAAAATTATTTAGTATCTGTCTGGTCATCAGAATAGGAGAGGGTTCAGTTAGACTTCAGACCTGCAGAGGCCCTGGATGCACTGATAGTACCTTACTTGGTGGCCTTGTTGAAATCTCAGTTGATTATCTTCTAGGGGAAAATGTTTTTTGTTAGGTAAATATTTAGAGGCTCACAATTCAAACAAATTTGCCTTCTCTAAGGAGGATTGCAAAGGCCACTTATSTTTCTGGTAAAAGACAAGTCAATTTTAAACAATTGTTGCATCCTCTGACTCTAAAGACAACCAACAAGTAAAGGGTAATACTCTGAGTAGTGCACGTTTTTTCACATATCTTGTCCTTTCAGTGTGTGCTGGCATACCTACCTGTACCAGCCTGTATCTCCTCCTTACATCTTTCAGCAGGTGTATTGCTTCCATCCCATTCAGCTCGAGAAATACATGCTTTATGTAGACCTCTGTCATAGAATATCTGCAAAAAAATCTGCTGCTGCAAGAGGGAATGTCAGATAATGGCCTTTTGGYGAGAGGGAATGTCACATAATGGCCTTTCTTCACGTGGCGTGTGTGTAAGTCAGGCATGAATTAATGATGCTTGCATGTGAATAGTGTGATATATTTGAGTCACTTCTTTATTCCYTTTTTTCTTGTTGAGGAGAAATAATTTAAAAGTTAGTACAATACACTACTTTTCTTAGGATGTTCAACACTTCTTTTTTATTTTTTTCCTTTTTAACACAATGGTGATTTTAAGAGTGAATAATGGGACATAGAAGTATTTTTTTTCTTTCCAGTTCTTTCACAGAAATTCCCTGTGCCATAGAATATGAGTATTTCCTTCCTGTAGAATAATTGCTATATAGAAGATTGTGTAAATAGGAAATGGATAATAAAAGAAATATATAATGCAAAATATAGATTAAAGATATTTATATTCTTATTCTAGCTCTTTCTGGTAAGTAGTGTTGGTTTAAAAGCCTTCTAAGCAGTAATAGTCACTACTCATAGATGAATCTGATAAATTTTATAGTTCACAATCGCTAAGGCAATGGATGCATCCTGATGAATTCATATGAATACTAGAATTTTTTGTTTATCTTGRGTAAAAGTTGATAGTGATAGAAGATAAACAACTAGCATTTCTTTATCACCTGTAGATCTAAAATGAAAATCAGGACTCATCTATGTGTGTGTATATATACTCATATGTAGTGATGCCTGATATACTATGTATATACACTAAATGTATACACAAATGTATGTATGTATTGTGTATACTTGTGTATACAAGTGTGTATACAGAAGCATACACATGCTTCTGTAAAAATCCAAATGACAATTTTCTGTATCAGTTCCCGTAGAGTAGAGGGGTATTACGTAGTTAAAAGGAATGGAGATATCTATCAGCCATAGCTTGTGGAGCATGTTCATGAAAATATCTATTTTAAAGCTTTCCTGCTGCTGGTGAGAACAATCTTCAGCTATAATGACCCAAAATTTCCATACATTATTTTCAGTGGTGTTCCAACCTATCCAAAAGCAACCAATAGAAAGGGTGGGAATCAGAAATAAAGGAAAATTTCTTCTTTCTGGCACAATGTTACCCTTGCCAATTTAGTCTTAATTTCTTAATTTCGTAGTGAAAAGTAGAAAGTTTTCATAATCAAAGTTATTCTGAAATATTTAGTTTTTATTATTTTCTGTTAAATCTATGTGCCAGGAAGACAAGGTAGATTTTTTTCTAGCTTTGCTTTTCACTGACAAGCACTTTTGAGCAATTTGCTTTATAAAGCTGAAACAAAGTTAAATCTGTCATATATAATGTCTACATTTTATAGAATATAATTTAACTAATGYTTTTTATGTTGCTTTGTTTAACTGTGTTTTAGAGTAATAGTTCTTAACAGAGCTTAAATGATGCTGTTTAATTTATGTGGCAAAGGAGATATAGGTATGGATAGATGAAAGGTATCTACCAAGAAAATTAGTTTTATTTTCTCAGTGAGAAACACAGTCTTTAGAAATGCCACTGGCTCACTGCAAATGTTTTAGCTTCATCTGCAGAAAGGATTGAAATAGGATTGAACTGTAGGGCTAAAAATACGCTGACCGCTTTCCCTTCCCTTCCCCTATAGTCAGTAAATCCATTTTCCTTAAATATTTACAAGATATTTTGAAAAGAGAATGGATGCTATTTCAAAGAACTTGACCTTCTAGGTGGAACAGTTCTTGCACACCTTCCAAAGACAAGGTTCTGCACTGCAAAAAGGGAAGTAAATTTACAGAAGGTTGAAATCACAGAAGCATGATCAAAAGGAGCAAAAGAACCTTCTCCTTAGTTGACCTACTTGGATTGCCTGATGTTTAGAAACATTTGTGCAAATTGTAGATCTTTGTATGCCAAAGATGTTTGACATGAGGTAGAGATTTAGTGGGAGTATCCAAGGGGGCCATAGGCTACCCCAGACCAGAGCAACCCCATTTGGTGCAATTGTGCACTGTGGCATCTCGCCTTCTGTCCCTCTCTGCAAACCAGTCTGAGCTGCCCTGGCTTCTTATTTAATCTTTCTCCAGCTCCTGTCCTTCTCTTACAGCTCCAAGTGCACTTTGGGTAGTCRGTGACAGTATTGTGTCATTTTTCTGCGGCACTGACATCAAGATACTGAATTTGATTTGTTGTAGTAAATGAAGTTGGTGTTATTTACAGGAAAATAAAATAAAATCAGTTTTTCCCCAAGTAGGCTAATTATCTTCCCCTGCCAAGGTGTTGGGAAACCTTAAGCATCATTGTGACGGACTGTGCTAAGTGCTTTATTTAACAGTTGAGACACCCACATTTTTAATGAAAGTATATTAAAAAAAAGTAGGTTGTTTATTTGGAAATCACTTCAGTCAGTTAGATCAAGTAGAGAATATGGTAAATAATTTGGGTTGGGCTTTATTTTTTAAGGYAGATGCGCTATGCCTGTTCAATCTGGTTATTTTTGTGCATGAGACAGATGTTGTGTAGGCAGAGCAAGCTACGGTAGCTGTTCAGATGTCTGTATAATTAGTCTTCAACAATATAATCCTTTTAAACTTATTTCCATAAATCTGCATGAATCTGCAGAATTTACCAAGTCTTTCAGGTACATAAAAAACATCTTCCTTCAAAATAATTTTTCTACTTATATTTTTTTTCCAACAAAAAACCTTTCTAATTATGAGATAGTAAACATCTGTTTTATATGCCAGTCTATATTTATTTGTGCTGCTTTTAAGTCTTCTCTTCTTGAGTCTATACAGTTAGGAAGCCCATGAGAGTACTGAACATGGTTGCTTCCAAACCAGTCAGGATTATAATTCCAGATGTGAACCTGATTCTRACAAATTTATAGTGAAGTTTAAAAGGCAGTTAAAACCACTGGTGATCATTGTTGTATGACTAACATTAGCCAATAATCCCTAAAAAAAAAAGTTTGCTTTTGCTATTTGAAGTTTCCATAGTTCTTAGAATATMTTTACAAGGGCTGTATCCCCCTAATTTCTTCCAGAAATCCTAAAACCACTACTGAACAGTGTTTGAATTCTTGGGAGGAATCCTTTTTTTATGCACTTASCTTGTAATTATGCTTAGCATCGTTCCTTTTTCTTTCTGAGCATCATAATATAACTGTGTATATTGACATACTTTCCCTGACATGGGCATGTTYGTTTTACAACTATTGCCTAATGAAATCTAGGACAAAAAATGAAAATTAATTATCCACCAATGTGTACTGTCTTCAGCTAATTCAAATTGCCTCCTTTCATCAGATTCCAGACCATCTAAACTACAGATAGTAATTTTTATAGACATTAGGTATGTAGTGCAGAAGATTTCCTACTTAATTAGTGCTTCTCTTAGTTCTTGTTTACTTCTGAGATAATTAAAAGAAATAGTGGCATAAAGAAATATCCATCAGGCTGAAGGGTTTTCTAACATGGTAATTTGCAGACCTAAACATTAAATGAGGAGCATTCTGTCCATGCTTTGTAGAAAGGATGCACTTGTGTGTAGAGGAATTTGTAGTCATACAAGGTTATCAGAATGAAGATCATATGAGTAGTATTACCACAAAAAGACGTTTTTTGTTCGGGTTTATTTTTAAGGTCTATTCACATGATAACGTGAAATTTCTTTTGGTATTGGAAACATAATACTTCTGGTCTGGGACAGCAAACACCATTACTGTTCTCAATGTCTAGCAGAATTAGGACCTTTTTTGCCTTTTACCRTAGGGCAGATATGGAGATGAGATCAGAGCCTGGAGAAAATCAGAGTAGCTTCCATGGTTGTTTGATGCCTCCTGCCAGGAACAGCTTTGTTKAGCACAATGTGGCTCTGTCCACCTTATCTAGTCATTGATTCCTGTGTTGTGCCTCAAAAAATGTCTGCTGGTGATAAGCTCCAGGGCTCCTTACTAAGTTATATAGGGTCATTTCCACTTTGCAGCCTGTTTCTGGTTTATACCACTTGGACAGGATAGAGGAGAGAATTTTGTCCGTGGAGAACTTTATGGAAAAAGATAGTGTAAATAAGGAAAAATATGTTGTAAAAACCAGAAATGTGATAATGTAACAAATAGTATGAAATGTGAAATGTCAAATACTATCAGCATATTCACTTCATATTATCA